ATTACAGGAAGCGATTAAGGAAAAACGACCAGAATTGATTAACAGAAAAGGTGTTGTCTTCCATCATGACAACGCCAGACCACACACATCTTTGATGACGCGCCAAAAATTGAGGGAGCTTGGTTGGGAAGTTTTGATGCATCCATCGTATAGCCCGGACCTTGCACCGTCTGACTACCATTTGTTTCGATCTCTGCAGAACTCTCTTGATGGAAAAACATTGGCCGACAAAAGAGCTGCCGAAAATCATTTGAAAAAGTTTTTCGCCGATAAACCACAAAAATTCTACACGGATGGAATTATGAAATTACCCGAAAAATGACAAAAGGTTATAGATAATAATGGCCAATATATACTTGATTAAAATTGATTTTCAATAAAGAAAAATTTCATTCAAAAATTGAACAAAAAACCGCGGATATTTTTTAGATGACCCAATATTATCAATAATCACAGTACTGTTCATATAACTGCTAAAAAAAATTGTGGTATAAAAAAATTGTGGGCATAAGTTGGCTAACTTTAACTATACTTAACGATAATTTTGCAAAAAATTATCTTAGAATAACAATTTTTTTTTTTAATTAAAGCTTGAAATCTTTACTTTAAGACGCTATGGCCAGATTTTAAGCTTGATTTTAAGCACCCCCTGCCACTATAATTAAAAAATATAAAGGTATGTTTGTCATTAATTTAAATATTAAAAATTGCAAAGTTTGACGAAATGCACGGACTTTGTACAATTTTTTTGGGAATGCCGTTTGCAGTAAAGTTTGAACTTTCTCCTTTAATTAAAAAAAAATGTATCGCTACGATTTTTTTCGCAAAGTTACAGCATTTGAAAGTTACCCTTGCGTTTTTGCCATATACTACCAACATTACCGAATATGCACTACGATAAGGCTGCTAGATGGATTTTGCACGTTTCTGCGTGTGTGTAGATATACTCATATTTTTTAGAGTTACAGTGGCAGTAGTGCATCAAATTTAAAATCTAGCCATAGCATCTTAAAGTAGAGATTTTATGTTTTAATTTATAAAAACAACATTATTCTCTGATAATTGTTCACAGTGTTATCGTTAGTCAAAGTTGACTAATTTTTATCTACAATTTTTCTGTGCCATACCTTTTTTAATGATGTATATTATATTAATTATATTAATTATTTTCACATATTTCTACATTTCAATTAACTGTCATATTATAATTCCTATAATCCATAAAAATAGTTAGGATGCTATTTAATATTTTTATATTTGTGGCAACTATTTTTTTCTCTAAGTATCTTTGAATAAATTGAAAATAATTAGTATCAAGAAATCACGAACTTTGGATTATTATAGTCATCACATGTGTCACAATGCAGCTCGACAGTACAATACATGTACTATAAACTGGCTAATCGCATTATATACGATTGCTAAAGGTGCAAGTAAATGCGCGTCGATACATTCTGTTAGAGCTTATAAAGTTTGTACTTCATCATTGATAATGACCTGGATGCTTTCATGGAGATGTTCAAGATTAATAGTTAATAGGTCTATACAAAAGTCAAGTTTTCGATTTTGAGAGATTGTTCATTTTATTTCGCTATTTCTGAAGCCAATTATCTACTTTTATTTTTCTATGTTACAAAATATCTGTTTATAATTGAATGATGATAAACTAATCAGTAGTAAAGCAAGGCGCGTTTCTAACCCACTATGTGTTAGTGCGTATACGTATACAATGTGTATATGTGTGTGTAAGAGCGTCAGGGAAGGAGAAACGTTCGAGGTCCATGGTAGAGGAGGAAGGGTTCGTTCCTTCTGTCTCTCATCCGTTTTCTCTTCAACCTATTGTCCCTTCTCTCCTACCCATAGGATGCAGTTCTGTCTCTTCCACCCGTTGCAATCCTATACTTATTATTTACACTCTCTCTTTCTTCCATTGCACTCTCTCCCTTCCATTGCGCTCTCCATCTTTTCTTCTTGCACGTGATTTAATTAAATAGATATGGTATTTACGATTTTAAATGATACAAGTCAGGTAAAAGAGTCGGAAAAGGTATAATACTACGCACTATGACCCTAAATGACAATAAAATCGATTATGTTCATTGGAACTATCCTAATGAACTAGTGAATCGTCTTCGATTGCTTGAGGCCCCGCGTCAGACAGATCACAACGCTCATGATAACGAAATATTGTCTATTATCGAGGAGCTTCATGAAGCTGGCTTTATTATAAATTTCAACGGAATACACAAAGATAAAAATATCTTTGTTTAATTTATAGGTTAAACAAGGACGTCCATTGTATAGGTGGCGGACTAAGCGCGCGATATAATCATAGTTATTGTTTTTAGATTTCTGTTTTCTCTTGCAGGCTTGCAAGCTATAATATACAGATAATACAGAGTAATTTTCATTGACATCGAAATGCCGATGAACAACGTTTGCGTAAGAAATGCTTTGTGATATTTTACGCATTATATAGCAATAATCATAATATATCGTAATATGTCTGAGAAGAAAAGTCTCGAAAAGTGGCGATTAGTGGAAGAACTGCATTCCAGCGAGAAAAAATTTTCTACGTAGACATGTCATAGTTTATGGATACGATGACTTGTGGCAGGTTGATGTGGTCGAGATGCGCCCTTACACACGATTCAACAAAGGGTATCACTACATACTGTTATCGACATGCTGAGTAAGCATGCGTGGGCCATATCGCTCAAAACAAAGAGTGGAAATGAGATGGCTACAGCGATTGCAAAAATAATTCAAGGTGATGCAAGATGTCCGAAAAATTTACAAACTGATATGGGAAAAGAATTTTACAATTCGGATGTACAGAAACTCTTGAAGAAGTTTGACAACATCAACTATAATGCTACGTATTCCGTAATGAAGGCATCGGTCGTCGAACGGTTCAATCGCACGTTGAAAAACGATATGTAGAAACAATTTATGCACAATAGAAATTATAAATGAATCTACTTGTTACCGCGTCTTGTGTCAGAGTACAACGCGCGAAAGTAGTATACCTAATGAATATAAAAAATTGTAATTGAGCTCCAAATTATATTTATTCAAAATTTTTACATAAAAAAAAGTGTAATCATATATTCATTCAAAAATTTGGGTTTTAAAAAAATATTTATTTACAAAAAACTATGAATATTTAATGAGTATTCATATCTATTCAAACAAAAAATATAAACTGAAAAAAGCTTCAATAAGTAATCGTTATCCTTAATTATAACTGGCACTTTAAGTAAAAAAAAATGAATTTTATTTATTTTTGTTATTGTAATAATCAAATTTTATGAAGGAAATTTAGAAATTTTGGAAACTATTTTAGAAAGTAATACATTTTTAATTTATAAATATCTATTTGATAGAACGCCATACATATTCTAATATAATTCCGATTACGTCACAATAATGTCATAAACATGTTAATCTTGGGCGCATCGTTCATTATGGTTAGATCTGTGGACATTAAATTCCGAGATATATTATTTATTTCCAATAAAAATATCTTTGTTTAATCTATAGGTTAAACAAGGACGTCCATAGGTGGCGGACTATAAGCGCGTGATATAATCGTAGCTGTTGTTTTTATAGATTTCTGTTTTCTCTTGCAGGCTTGCAAGCTATAATATGCAGATAATACAGAATAAAAGTCAATACGAAACGAAAATATTCGTAATTATATTCAAAAAATATTTATTCAAATGAAATGAAAAAGTAGAGGAGACTGGGGCTAATAGACTCATTTTTCAGTTTCAAATTTTTACAGACAAAATTAAGAGACTTATCGAAAAAATGAATTCTACACCAGTTACTACATACATTTGACTACCTAATAATATTTTAATAATAAGAGGAAACTGATACTGATATGAAAAAAAAATTTTTCTAATGCATTCCATCTGATTCAACTAGCCCCGGGACCGAGGTAATTCGATTAAGATTATTAAAATAAAGATTAATGTATTTTAAGCTACATCTTTGGCTATATATTAATAAAACTTTTATAAAAATATATTTTAAACACAAACATTCGCTTCGCAGGGCAAACAATACTTCTTTTTGCAAAATTTGTTCATTACAAAAACACGTCGAATAAGCCTAGTTAAGCCTAGATTGGACATGAGGGAACTAAACTTATGACATTTATCACTGAGGAAAATCTTTTTAAAGGAATAAAATTTTGAGTAAATATTATAAGAGTCATTAAAGTCAATGAGTCATACAGTTCCATGCTGTGGTTAGTCTATTATTCCCATCTGGTGCTGTCGCACCCTCGTGATTCAAAGTGGATAATTCGGTACGTGTGAGTAAATTCAAAACAATCTTTGAGAAAGGTTACACACGAATTGGATGGAAGTGTTTAGAATCGTCAAAGCATAGAAAACTAATTCCGTATCTTCTGGAAGATTACCGCGGAAATTCCATTGCTGGAAGATTCTACGAGTATGAGTTGGATCGCGTCGCTAATCCCAACATATATCTTGTTGAAAAGGTTTGCGTAAAAAAGGAGACAAGGTTTAATGGCTGGGATTTAATAATTCATACAACTTTTGGATATACAAGGATAGTATGTTATAACAATAAAATTTATTACAAATTTATTACAAACTGTATTTTTTTTCCTTATGTAAATATTAAATGAACATATTATACATATTATACATATTATACACATTACATATATTATACATGCATACGTACACACGTACATACATACGTACATACATACATTCGTACATACGTTCATCGAGAGACGTGCAGATATCGAGCGATTAATGCAGCCAACAGTCCCATTATCATCATCGATTTAAGATCTAAATGTGGAACTTGTTAAAATATATGATACGAATAACGTGAAGTTAAAATTAAATGGCACATGTTTGTACATGAAACTAATAACTGTTTTTCTTATTTGAGCTTGCCCTTACGAAAAAATACCCTCAATTTTGGGCGTTAAACACTCAAAAGAACGCTCAAATTTGGGTGTTAAACACTTTTAAAAAACGCTCAAATTTGGATGTAATTTCGGACCGTCAACTGAAGGTTACACCCAATTAAATGCCCAAAGAAAACCATCAAAATAAATGGCTTTATTACATAAAATTAATTAAATTTGTTTTATTCCTAAAATAATATTATTAATTTGCAACATTTTCCGAAATACACACGACAAAATTATAATTTAAAAAAACGCTCTCTCTCTCTCATTTGAGAATTAATTTCCTTATTTTTCTAAGCAGTCACTCATCCAATATCATATCCTATTCAACGGTGCTTGACCACTGCAATTGTATGGACTGCTGCTTCAATGATCCAAGAACACTGAATGTTAGTATATAATTGCGATACATCTCAATAGGACTTCAACATTTTTAGGACTGTGTGAAACATCTTTTTGACAAATCTTTATCTAAGCTGTGTTTGGAAACATTATCTGGATGCCCCTGTGTTTTATATTATCCTTGTTTCACATTGGACAACAAGGATAAAACGATACATGGGGGCACTCGAATGATGTTTCCGAACGTAGTCTAAATAAAGTTTGTCAAAAAGATGTTTCATGCATATAGTATTAAAATATATTTCTTTCATAAATGAATCTGGCAGCGCATCTATATTCAACGTTAATTCTCAATCAGCGTTAATCATAGTTTCAGCGTTAATTCTCAATCATAAAGATTAATATTCAAGTATACTTACATTCATTTTGGAAATGACACTCAAAGGTTATTAAGCCGTTTAAGATTTACGCTCATCTATTGAGTGTGAGTAAACCGCGATTGAGTGTTACCATCAAATTCAGTGTATAGTGTATGGTGTATACACCAAACTATTCAGCAAATTTAATGACCACACCCAATTGACACTCAACATTGATGTTTAACGCTTAACACTCAATATTTAATGTCTATACCAAGACAACACCGAATATTCATGGTCATGCTCAATCGACACCCAACCTTGACAGTCAAACCTCACATCCAATATTGACGATCAACATTGAATTTTGATGGTGAACACCTAAATTTGAGTGTTAACGTCCAAAATTGAAGGTTTTTTGTCATAAGGGTAAGCAATGTATTGAACATGTATTCTATTGAGTATTCTACTGAATATTTTGTCATTTTTAAAACAAAATTGTATTACTAATAAAAGCGATACTGCAAACACTTTGTACAAAATTTATGATAAAAATTCTATTATAGAATGTGAACTAATAGTCTATGGTTTAGATTATATTGTACATGTTGCATTATATGGTAAATAAATGTATGTTAAAAAATATATTCTTTTCTTTTAAAAAGATTTTGTCCCTAATATCTTCATCACCACTTCTTCTTCATATCTTCATAGTAGTTGAATTAAACAATAAGAAAGCGCGCTTGACTATTTACATTGATAAAAAATATTATCATAGTGTTTGTTGCAGCCGCAGTTTCGGGATCGTTCTCAATAATATTATTTCTTCGAATTTTACACGAACACACTATTTTATTACAAAAATAAGAGCATACGGCTCGGATCATCTGTAGCAACAACGGCAGTAAAAGGCAAAAGTACAAAGTTCTATTGGCGGGAACGGGCAGTATTCGCTTAGTTTGCGATCCAATTTCATTTTTCGTCGTCCACACGCGGCCATTCCGGCACCTTCCTCTAACTCGCCGCTTAGCTGGTAACACGCGTCTCACTCTACAGTATTGAGAACGCACTTCCAGCATCTCTTCCACCTTGAGTTGTGACTTCTTGGTAGGAGCAAATCAATCTATCTTAGAAAAATGAAAACAATAAAAATAAAATGACAAACATTTCTAGTATCTGAACCAGTCCGGTTTCTTGATGATACGATCCCTTCGGGTCTTTAAGCTCGTTTCCTTCCAACGGAAGATTTCGGTTCCTCTCTAGGGGCAGTTACGGACTCCTCGAGGATGTTAGCTGCAGGTCCCTTAGTAGTCTCTGACATCGTAGTGGTAGATCCGATAAAGTTGTCAGCTTCAGGACTAGAGTGTTCAACTTTCAAGGGAATTAGTCTTTGAATGGGTCGAACCAGTTCATCTTTATTCGTTTTCAATTTTACCACTCGCACGTAACCATCTTTTCGGAGTAGACTTCTCTAATGACGGCGAGCGGCCAGTCTAATAGCTTTTGTAAATTGTTTTCAATAAGCACGACGTCACCGACAGCTACGGGCGCGGAACTATTGCTGGGTTTAGTTCGTCTAGATAACTGACCTAAATACTGTATACGGAAACGTTTTCTGAACTCTTCTTTCAATCTTTGACGATAGTGTCCTCTTTGCAAAGTGGGACTTGATCCAAGTCTGGAACGCCATTTTCTCGAATGTCACTGATGAACATCGCTGGAGTTAGCGCTGTGATTTCAGTATTTTCCTCAAGTCAAGTAGGTAAGTGGTCTTGAATTCATAGTAGCTTCGCAATCGCATAGAACAGTGTTCATTTCTTCATAACTCAACGAAGTTCTTTTTAATGTCCTCTTCAGTAGATCTTTAAGGAGTAAGTCGCTCACACCTCCCCAACAAGCAGCTGAAGGTGAATTAAAATGCCATGTTATCTCATTGAGGGCACAATATTGGGAAATTTTCCGTCAATTAATCTTCTGTAGTAGGCCTCTACAAAATTTTTCCCATTGTCACTATATATAATACTACAGGTCTTCCTCGACGTGCAATGAATCTTCTGAAGGCCTTCAGGAATTCCTCTGTTGATAGAGATGTAACCAACTCCAAGTGGACTGCATGATAGACTGCATAAGTAAACAAACAGATGTAAGCCTTTTGTCCACCTTAAAAAAAGTAGTCCAACGTAATCGATACCTATCACTTCAAATGCTGTAGCATTTCTCACTCTATCTTCAGGTAACAATCCATGTGGTGCTTTCATCGTTTTCGATGCATACCGACGACAAACGATGCATTTTCTTATGACTGAGCGTACCGTACGACGGCATTGCAAGATCCAAAACTTCTCGCATAAGCTATTCATTACAATGTCAATACCAGCATGATTAAGTTTTTCAGATGAATATAAAAGATAATTTTCAACGTCAATAAATGAGCTAAGTTTAACACTACGGGACATCTGACAGAAAGATATCTTGATTGGAGATCACTGTCTTTGTGCGTATTAGTTCATTCCTCTTCGAAAACATTTAAACTTCGTAATCGTGAATCGTTGCTTCCCAGGAATGATTCTTTCTGTACTAGTCTATAGAGAAGCAATTCTGCCTTAGTAATTTCTTTGGCATTTAACTCTTGAGTTTTGTTTACATGGATTCTTCGATAGTTATTCGCAAATTTTAATATCCACGCGACGGTATACAGAATTTTAAAATACATCGAAAGTCTCTGCAAATACCAGGGGATTGTCTCTTCACCCGCTTGTTCTATGGAGTTTAGCACAACGATTTCTTCAACAGTAGTCTCAGGGAAAGTTCTCTCTTTGCATCGTCCGGAAGTCTTGCGTAACTTTAAATTAGTCATGTTCTTGTCAATTTTTCCTTTCTCTTTGGGAGGTAGTTTCAACCATTCCGGTCCCTCCCACCATTTCAATTCAAGGAATTTCTTAGCATCACAATCTCGCGAGGGTAAATCCGCTAGGTTCATCACTCCAGGAATATATCTCCAAGATTCAATATCCGTAAGACTCCTTATTTCCAGAAAACACGATTCCATACAAAGACTGCCCATTGTCTTGTTTGTCGAATCCATGTTAGAATGATCGAGTCACTTCAGAAATGATTCTTGATATCTTGATAATCCATAGCCTTTACGAAGGATTGCATTATCCTAGCTCCAATGGAGGCTGCTAGTAATTCAAGGCGAGGTATGATCTTCTTTTCTTTGGGTGCTACTCTTGACTTGGCTTCTATGAGATGCATCTCGACCCCTATGCTTGATTCAACTCGTACGAAGATTGCCGCCGCGTATGTGTCTTTACTGGCGGCGACAAAAACATGAAAGGACAGTGAGTCGGGACCTCTTTCCTCTCCAAAAATTCATCATGGAAACTTCAATATACGTAGAAGACCTAGTTGCTGAACCCATTCAAGAAATTCGTGCTTAATGTCGTCGTCTATTTCTGTGTTCCAATCCACATTTTTATTCCTCAGATCTTGCAATAGTAATTTTGGTTTTAACAGTACGGGACAGACGAATCCGAGAGGATTCGTAAACTTTCTGTACTTGTGACAAGATGACTCTCTTCGTTATTTTCTCCGTGATCATCGGTGCAGGAAATTCCGGTAACATTAAAATATTCCTTTTGGTGTCCCATATAAGTTCAAGCACCGTTGATTGACTCTCAGGATCCTTGCCAGTATATTTCCAATCTCTTAAGTCAAATTTGGCTTGGGTCAAAAGGGAACAGGGCTTCTCTCTTGAAAACTTCAAAATCAGAATAAGAATCGACGCAGTCATCGACATAAAAAGATTTTGCTAGTTTCTCATAAACTGCTTTCTTATATGGCAAAATGGTAGTGTTTAATCGTTCAATCGCCGCCTTTAAAAGGAATGGACTTGTCAATCCGAAGACAACTCGACGATGTCGATAAATCTCTATTTCTCCGTCAACCCTCCATCACAGGAATCTCAAAACATCTCTATGGAGAGACGTCGATTTGTAAAAAGGCTTTTGCGATATCAGCTGTTAGCTCTATCTTCCTCTCTCGAAATCGATGTAGCAATGCTGGAATGAGCTCTATAAGATTGGGTCCAGTCTCCAAGCATTGATTAAGCGAAGGTGATTCCTTGATTTTGGCTGATGCATCGAAAACAGAGTGTATCTTCGTAGTTCCTTCTTTCTTGACTACAGGCCTGTATGAAAGATAGTAACTCTCTTGGTCAACTTCAAGTGCAGCTACCTTTTCAATAATCGCTTCTTCGAGCCAATTATTAAAGACAGCTTGGTAGTCGTCAAATAAGTCTTCTTGTCGCAATCTCTTTGTAACGACTTTTAGTCTTTTCTCGGCTATGTCTCGATTATCTCGTAAAGGTGGATGATTCTCTTTCCACGGCAAAAGAACTTCATATCGATTTTCGTTATCGATTTTCGTTGTCTCTTGAAATGAGGTCTTTATTTTAGCTTAATGTGTCTCCTTAGTAACACTCTCAATAGGATTCGTAATGCCCAAGACATCGAGTCTCCATAAATCTGATATTGGCTTCTTGAGTGAACATTAACATAATCGTCAACGTAGTATTGGTGCCGTCATCATCTATATTCTTACCTAAGATTGTCCATCCAAGCTTAGTTTCTAAAGCTGTTATTCCTTGATTTATCTGCAGGACTTTTCCTGGGAAAGAATTTATTGTATTCCTGCGTCATGCAAATTGATCGAAATTCTTTTTTTTTTAGTTATTGGTTCATCGCAATTGGCAGGGGATTGGTATTTCAGAGACTTAACAATCTTTGTGATGAGGCGCAAAAGCAAATTCCAGGATAGGGTGCCAAAGGCGGTCGAGGCCTCCGGGCAGGTGTAGTTGTGATCGACGTCCATGCGATTCATCAAGTTTGCTTTTCGTCGTTCAATTTGTTCAATTAATTATAGTATATATGTATTTGAATTCATTGTTTTATTCTTTGGAAGAAGCTCGTAGAATACAATTCCAATTTCATCATGACTTTGTTTAGATGAGGAAAATCCTGTCTTTGTAATACTTTTGGCGATTCATTGCTCTATTCCCACAATCTTTTGCATTTAACATTGTTATATATGATCCATTTATTGTCGCTTATCACTATTCTCTTCAAAAATGAATTGCTTTTCTCACGTTTTATGAATAAATCGCTGATGCAAATGTGTTTGATTCGACTAGCTTCATTCAGTTTGTGCGGAATCCAAAGATCGAGCCTATTACATAGCCAAATTGATGCAGATGGTTTCCCACGCTCGATTTCAATATTTGGAGAACGTCTACAATATTTTACATCGTATAGACTGGATTAGTATCGATTAATATCTTCACTTTGAGTAGTATTCATAGTCCGTTCTTATT